TTTGACCGATATAACATTTCCCGTTGGTTTCATCCCATCCCGATTTTGACTGTCGCATAGTGTTATTGTTCCTAATAAAGTAAAAATAGTTTCTGAAAATTTAGAAATAATAGTACCTTTATTTTATTTACAGAAAACGTTACACACTTTTACATCAGATATTATGATTTTAAATGCATGTATGTAAGTACATAGATGTACATAAACATGAAGATTTACAATGATTGGATATTTTTAAATATACAAAGTTGCCAGTAAGTTCCAAAAAATTACTAATTCAGTAAATAATTATTCGTAGTTTCAACTTTTGAGAACCTTTTATCAATGTTATGTTATGACAGCATTAACCACTAGATTAATCTATAGTTCTTATTAAAAAGGAAATTGTTTCTACTTGAAGAATGTTTCGACATTTTGTTTTTATTAATTTTTGTATGGAGAAGATCATTTCAACATTGACTGAAGAATGTGTAACCAACCAAAATCCTTGAACGATGTTGTATGTGTTTGAAAACAGTGGGTCATTAAAAACATTTTTGATATTTCTCATGTTTTCCTAAAACTCACAAATATTTCGGTTGACAGAATTTTTTAAATCAAGGTGTTCAGCCCTAAGTTCTGTGCTGCTTGCTTCTATTCTATATTGCCTGATAATACAGAAGAAGGGTTCAGCTTTGAAGCCCAAATTAGAACTTCGTCATTAAAACTCTTCAAAATACGATAAAAGTTTACACAAAATTATGTTATGATTTTTCTAAAATTTAGAATATCTTACTGTTTTAGTTTTTCTTTGTTTTGGCAAATGAACAATTCTGCTTCTGCTACACAATATACGTCTCGTATATCAATTTTATGCGATTCTAAATCTATCACCTTAAAAATTAATCAAAACAGTGTTGTATAACTTAACGAATCAAGTGCTACCAAATTTTGGCTACCGATGAAATTGTACTAAAATGTGCTGGGTAGTAGGAAAGTAGAAATCACTTGAAATTGTATAAAAAAATTATCGAAATTATCAACACTGGTACATACCACCTGATCCCAGCGAAGTATCAGCATGGCTTCCGTAAAGCCACAGCACAACAACAGCGCTTAACGCCATAAACACTCATATCACTCGTGTCCTTAATCGTAACAGCCCCTGTGAGAGAGAAAATATAGTAGCGTTGGACCTGTCAAATACTTTGACACCGTCTGTAATTCCACGCTATACTTGAAGACCATGAGGCTTCCTCTCTCCCACAGGGACTCAAACGGTAGTCGGGGAATTATATAAGTGGTCGTCACTAACTTTTCGAGATGAAACTTCACAACCTAGAAGAGTTAAGATAGAGGTTCCAAAGGGTGGTGTCCTCTCCTCCCTACGGTTTAACTGCGAGGGAATTTCCGTGATCTCATACGCTGAGTTCGATTCTGGCGGCCGAGAATGGAATTGATGACCTCTGCTCGAAATTAAACGGCTACCCATACCAACTTTCTTGCTTCCCTGCAAGAAGGCTAACTATTTTTCCGAAGAAATCAACGGCGACCCTCTAGAACACCTGGGCGAAGGCTTCAACAAAGACGAATCCACGTCGATGGAACAGGAATTCGGTGAACAACCCGAAAATTTTGGGTCACCATTGACAGCCGGCTTTCCTTCTCCACTCATACAACCGCAATTGTTAATAAAGTACAAGGCCGCAACAAGGTCCTCAAGTCACTAGCCGGCAGCACCTGGGGCATAGATAAAAAAAAACGTTACTGGCACATACATATAAGACAATCTCAACTACGCTGCGCCTGCTCGGTCGCCGTGAACTAGCTGGACGTAGTGCAGGACGTTGACAGTGACTCCCAAATGCTTAATTTTGGATGCCACAGGCGTGAAAACCCCAACAGACCCTTGCTTGAAAAAGAGCCTCCTCCCAGGCACGCCATAAGGCATCTTTTCGAGTGCATGGTCACATTGACCAACCACTGGACCCGACGTACCGACGAGTGATCAACGGCATTCATAGAGAGTCGGTCACCACCTGCCATGACTCTCACACGTACGCACGACAGTCGGGTCTATGTAACCGGCGCGCCCAGTTTAATATCTGGCCAAGAACTGTCACACGAGCATCATTCCCCAAAAAAGTCTTTGCGGAATTTGTATGCTGTTACTTCAACAACTCTCGACCTATGAATACTATGATAGGAGCCCAATCTCCACCTATCGCAGACAAAGAGCTTCGACTTCGACGAGAGACCCAGGTTATTATGGTCCAACTGTGGTCAGAATATTGCAGCCGCCTCAACAGCTACTTGTCCACACTGGACCCCGATACCCAAAATGAGTGTCCGGTATACGGAGACTACCCGGGACACCAAACACTACTTCACAGGTCAGCTCAATCCTACTTCCGTCGAAACAGCTCGTTATCAAAATTGATATCTGATATGACTTTCGAATGAATATGTTAAAAAATAAAGCAACCTCAGAACCCTACATGGGTAGTGCGGCCGCTAGGCACGGCGAAGTTAAGTCCAAGAAACCCACCATCTCGAGAACCGCATCGACGGCGCCGAAGACATGGCCTGCAGGGCCCAATCAAATTCGGTTCTCCGCAGAATATGGAGAGAATGCTAAGCCCACAGAGGTAAAGCATACTTCCAGCGATACCGGCAGAACTGTACTCCTCGAGGGAAAGTAAAAGCCGGTGGGGATCCTGCGGACGGCCCCTCTCTCTACGCCCACCCCGGGCACATCCAACTCGCAGTGGGTAGTAGCCGAGCCCAAGTCCTCCACGGATAAGCCGGCGACTACTCCTGCGAATAAAATTCCAACAACTGGGGCAAACGACCTGGATCGGCACCCTGGCTGTTCCAATGCAGGGAAAATAATTCCGCCCTCCGTCAGGGCTCAGCGAGACCGAAGGGCAGCCCCTAAGGTCATTAAAAGACTGGGTGTCATTCCACATGACCAGCTGACGGAGGAGCAAAAAGCCGCTCTCAAGTGGGCAATGGAAGTCTTCGCCGCCAGCGACAATCGATCCTCCGGGAAGGGCGGTAAGGACAAACCATCCACTAAGGCGAATCCATGGAAGGACCTAGGCCACAAGAGACAACGATCTCAGAACGACACCGCGATTGGATCCGACTTCCTCTGCTTCTAACCGTCCGTCCATGGCCGTGTCCACCACGAAGCCATTCAGCGAAGAGCACCTCACGCTGGCGGTGTTGGACAAGGCCCATCCGGACGGCCACATTAGCACGGACAATTGGAAGTCCGTACTGATGGGTCTATGCCGCGTGTATAAGGGGATACTCCAGAAGTATTCCGGCCCTGCACCAGTCGTCCGTGATACTGGGTGCCATCAGGAGCGGGTAAAGCTGGTGGCGTGTGCGGATGAACGCGCGGTCCGGCTTTACAAGGAAGCGATCTGCACGGTTGGACAGCTGTGGCCCGGGGCAGAATTAGTTGCCGTTCATAGGGGTGAAATCCCTAACAGGCCGCGAGCCTGGGCCTAGGTCCCAGCTGAACCATGGAAGCCGGAGGAGATTCTGTATTTTATCCGACTGGGTAACGAAGGACTACCCACAAGTGATTGGAGGATAGTCCGAGTTGGCGAGACCAAGGGGAAGCAGCGTTTTGTTGGCTTTGTCGTGAACGATGCTTCCGTCCCTATTCTCGAGGGTTGTGGTGGGGTAATAAGCTACGGCTTTTACTCCATCTCGGTAAAAATCCACCGGAAAACGGACCAACAATGAGAGGAAACGGGCAACGCCTCGAGCGGACCCGCTCCTCCCGACAACTCTACCGACGAAGGGGCCCACAAAACAGGCAACGCCTCGAGTGGACCTGGTGTCTCCGAGTCGGCATCGGTGGAAGACAGCTCGGGGTCCACAGGAAACACCACGAGTGGACCTGGGGGCCTACCAACGGGTGTACCCGATACCGCGTCAGCCACTCTAACCTAACCTAACCTATGACGTTCGAAGTTTATTGCTTTCCTTTGTTTTGGAAAATATTGGGCAACAGTAGAAAAAATTTTACAAAGATAACAACCAAAACGTCACAATTGCTTTGCATACGTACAAAGTATAATGTTCCAGAACGCCGAACTACAAAATATTGGCAATGTATACTTTTCCAACGATAAGTTATCGAAACGCATCGCTAGAGCAATCAGCGCATCAGACACAAAGTCGATGCTTCGTTTGTTATTGGTTGACATTTGTGTTTTAAAAATGGAAAATTCAGAAAAAGTGTTCATTGCTTTATTGAATATTTAAAATATGAAATGTATATAGTTGCAATGTGTCGTAACTTTGCATATAAAAACAGTTTGAATACCGCAGTATAACAGTATCCAAATATTGTATTGATACGTTTGGGAAGTCAGCATATGTATATAAAAATACAGACAGTTTTTCTTTTTTGTGTACACGTTTTCACATTTGTACCATTCGGGAAGGTTCTCCGATCCACTTCCGAGTGAATTTCAACCAAAGCCACTTTGAATTCAAATTGCCTGGTTGTGAAGAATATTTTCGTTAACTTAAGCATAAATACAAGAAGAAAAATAACATTTTAGCTAGCTAGGATTTTTGGACCATAACCTATGGAGATCTATTTGTCTAGCGCAAGGCACTGAACAAAAGGCAGTCGGAAATTTAATGGACAATGCAAAGACTTGCACTCGTGAAGTAGAAAGCGTTTCGTAGTTATTGTGTATTGCTTATGTCGTTGGGTCATAGCGAATTAGGAACTGACTGAGATTTTATAAGATTCCACGTACTCGAACTCCGAATCTAACAGAATCCAAGTACGGAAGGACTTTCCAAAAGAAATTTAATTGCAGGCGACTTTAATGACTTAATCCAGCTGGTATTTTGATAGCACAAATCAGTGTTATTGGTGATACATAAAAGTTTCTGTTTCTTGACTCGTCGCGTAATAATAAAATGACTTTGATAGTGTTTTAATAAAGAATTAATAAATACTAATTTAATTAAAAATAGTATCTTACTTCTTACGCGTTGACTTCTTTGGATGTATATTTTCTCTTTCTTTAGGTGATGCTCCGGTGCGAAAATCGACTCCTTCTTTTCTTTCCGAGCCTCGGAGGGGCACTTCTGCATTCATGACATTTGTGGTCAACGAAACAGCTTCTTGGTTGTGCTGGTAATGTACTTTAGTGTCATCGGATAAATTCGGCTGAGATTGGTTAACGAATTTTGCATTTGATTTATGATCAGGGCTCTGCGAATATACAAAGTTTTGAAAATTTAAAGTTTCCAAAAGTGCATTAATGAGTTCAGGGAGTTTTTATCTCTAAATTAATTTTTACCTTCTACATTTAATTTTTCTAACACATATACATATACGCTTAAGCTGCAAAGTAAGCACGCATCTGCAACTGGCTATAATAAGAAAATCGTTTCGTTTTTGTCGGGAACTATAGCACATAAAACTTGGCCCTTATTCCTCTACACAATTGTATGAGTATATACGTCCATTTGTAAAAAGAAGTACGGCTAATACTTAATTTAGACTGTTAAATCTACTTATGAAACGGTGGTTACAATCTGTGTATGTATATCGCCAGAAAATATCAAGAAAAAAAAACGAAACCAATAGCATAAATTGGCAATATTTCCCCATAACTGATTTAGAAAGAAAATCCATTTATTGTTGTTGAAGCGGAACAGCATAGATCGTCTAAACTACAGTTTTTGTTGCCTAGCTCAACTAACGGTACACCCATCATAGAAACTTAAGGGTAATACCCTAGCTGGCTTCCGGGATCTTCAATAATATTCGGACGGTAGCAATAAGCTTATCACTCCTAGAACGTGGAATTCAGTGTTCTACAGCAGCAGGAAGGAGTACTAAGTATGTATCTCTTGGCTCTTGGTGCTTAATGACATCCTGAAATCACTTAAAGTAAAAGAAATAAAGGTTGTCTGTTAGAAGAAACACTAGGCCAACCATAACAACTAGGGGCTAATCCCGCGCAAAAACTTCCCACAAGTACAGGTCAATACATTTGTTATTAAATATATTAAGAACTCGCAAATGTCTGCCTTGCTTCGCGACGCCTTATAAGAACTTTTGCGTTGACCAATACAAAATTAGCGTTGCTATGTAAAAATTATTAGTTTAGGTTGAAAGGACTGAAGAGCAAAACCTTGCTTACTCATAGGCCAAGAATAATAGCGCTGAGATAACATTTGGGTTAAGTACTAATCTCCTTCGATGCTATGAGGCCTTATTTCCACCTGCGAGATATATGCAAGTATTGCAAGGTTTGCCGAGAGTGCGTAATCTTCTTCTATAATCCTGCTGTTCCACAGGATGAAAGAGTTTTCCCGTTCAAACGGGGTCATTGATATTCCTACTGTGTTCTCTCTAATTCAGCACACTTCTTCTTGATATACGGATGACCCGTTGATGTGCCTAAGATATCTGTGAAGCTTAAACAATTTTGCGCTTCTTTTATGCATACTTGAAGACTGGGGCTTTATTAAGTCATCTAAAATGTATTTTGCAAAAGTATATTTTACGATGCAGAGCAGAATTTCAAATTCATTTGACGTGTGATTCCGAAGTTATGGCTGATTAAAAAATTCACTCCTATAGGATATGCCACGCCCATTTTACCAAAAGTATATTTGCTTTACTATAAGCATCTACCAGAGATATGTATGTCAACACACCAAATTTCGAAGTCATGTGACTTACGATTTCGAAGTTATAGCTGATTAAAAATTTCACGCTTATGGGAGGTGCCACACACCATTGTCAGATCTCATTTTTTTAAACCCTGAGTTAGGTCCGAGGTCACTCTCTATATACTAGTTAAAGCCCCATTAAAATCCATTCAGTAGTTCCGGAGATTAGTGTGTTCAAACAGACAAACAATCTACAGTTTTAATATAGTATAGTAGATAGTTAAAAACAAAACTGAGTGCCCCTATACGGTTTACTACTCCACTTACTTGAATTGACATTAAAACAACTCAGCTTCAAAACAACTTAACTCTAACGAATTAAAACTAATTGAAATTGTATTGATGTTACCAAGCAGTATACTCGGGGAAAACTTATATTTTTTAACTCATCATAATCTTAACTATTACCTGTGGTTCTTGTTTCCATTCATTATCTGTTGTGTCTTCGGAATCGTCAAATTGGCTTTTCCACTGAGATGCCAATGTAAGCGCCCCTCCACCTTTAGTAACTTGTTGCAGTGCTGACACATTTTCGTCGTCTATCAATGCGAATTGAGTCATGGAATGATCGGCAGCAGCGCCAAATCCATTACTACCGCGTGTTGGGCCACCGCTACTGAAGCGATGAGAGGTACAACTATTGCCCAAAGCTGGCCGCAGATTTGTTGAAGTGGCTGACCGACGATTTGTGGGTGGCGCACTTGTGGTTTGCTGTTGTGGCAATGCACCTGTTGAGCCCATGTGCAGGATGCGTGGACTGTTGTTGATAATATGCTGATGCATGGTTGTAACTCCGCCTTTTGAGGCGCCTGTCGCGGCATCGAAAGAAAACGGCGTTGCATCCTGGTCGTGCGGAGATCCGGTTTCCGTCAATATTAGGCCCCCACTACCAATGGCGAGATCATATACACTTGCTGTTGCTAAAGGAGATGCTTTGAAAAATTAATTAAAATTTCGATTTTAACTTGAAATCATAGTGGCAAAAGAAATTTGCATTCGAAGTAAAATTTTAACGACGTATTGTGGAATGATTTCCCCCGTCATCCCCTGTTCGGAGACAAACCAGTTTCGGTGTTGTGCCATCTTCTATAAAGCGCGAAATGAAGCAGGCGAAGTCAATAACAAACCCAAAGCAAGAATATACAATGACAAAATTCCAGGAACTATTGAAATATCTAAAATCATCGCTGAAGTATAAACTAGAATTGCTCAATAAATGCAAAGTTAAGGAGTTAAGGATGCGAAATTTGTATCGTTTGATGTCGAGGATCTTTACCCATCGCTATCAACAGCAGAAGCAATTTCCATCTCAACTACCATGATGCAATAATACAAGGTGGTATCAGTTGTGACAGCTCGATTTTGACACTGCCTTAGCTCAGTAGAATAAGAAGAAAAACGGGAAGAAATTAATCCCCATTTGGGGAAAAAAATTTAAAATTTCATATTTTCTTCTAAACAAAATTTGCTTTTTTATAGTATATTCGTAATGAAATGAAATAAAATAAGATAAAATACCTTTTTGAGAAAACAAAATGTGTATACTGAGAAAAAATATATAAAAATTCAACTATATTATTAGGCAAAGAATTTTCAAAGAAGTAACACTGTTTCACCTAAGGCAGTCAATATGGCGGAATTAGAGCGAGAAGTTTCCAACCGATAACACCTTGTATTATTGCATCATGCTCAACTGCAACATTGCTAGAAAAAAACAGTCAACACCGTAGTAACGGAAATCGTGAGTACTTGAGGTTAACACTAGACCAAAGCTATTTGAAGTTAAATAATAAAATATAAAGCCAACTAACGGGCTAGGAATGGGTAAACAATTTTAATAGAGATGTTCATGCAATATTTAGAAGCAAAATATATGAAGGAGCTGACAACCAACCTAGGAGTAAATTTAGATTGGATATATCTGTGGTCTTAAGCAATAGCCGCATAAGCCGACTTAAGAAAGAATTTAATTATTTATGCCATCGTATTCTGCAACTATTATTCCATGCGTGTGTGAAATTCCATCTCGTCAGCTAGGCTATTTAAAAAGTTATAGAGGAACATATTTTGGTTTACCCACTAGGTTAACATTACAATCCAAATGTTTAAAACGTTTTTTCTCGAATTCAAGTTTTTAGACTTAGGCGGATATTGCTTAGGGCCACATACAGTGGGGAGCAGTGATGAGTACATGGTGATTTTTGGTAAATCTTGCAAGGTTTTTAAAGTCAAATTTTTTTGTTATTTTTTTATTAAAGTATGGTTGATGCTTTAACCAATACCCCTAAATCAAACTTACAAACTTTATACAGCTTAGGAAAAAATTTTTGAGTATGCAGTTTTGTAGCAAATTAAATTTTACTACAATAAAGTGCAAGTTTTAAGCGTATATTATTTTATTTTTTGTCGACGACTTATGCGGATTTTTTCATATAACAAGTACAGTTTATAAAAACTAGCTTTGATTTTTTTTTAATTTTCTTTGCAAACGTTTTTGCGCATTTTCTTCTATAACAAATTCATACTTGTATGGAAAAAATACAAAAAGCCGTCAGCCGTGAAGGCATGAACAGTATTTTTATGAAAAAAATAACAAAAAAATTTACTTTAAAAACCTCGCAAATAACCATGTACTCATCACTGCCCTCCACTGTATATGTCGATATCATATGTCTTGTAACGGGAGGAAAGGAAGGTCATAAAATTCACGTCGGAGACGGAGACCTAAAAAATAAACTTTTTGGACATGACAGTTAAAATAAATAAAGATACCGCAAGAAAAAATAACCGATTTCTAGCTGCATACCTGAGGGTTCACACCATACAACAATAATTACCGCTTAGACCAAGGCGGTGTTATTAGGAAAGCAGTTTTCTTGTTCTTTCATTCGCCTCACATGTATTTTGTTTTTTACTTTTACAGATTTGACAGCACATCCATTAAACGCAAAAACAAAATACATGTAAACTTTGACAGCTTGACCGTCAAATCCATGTACATTTGTTTTGCACTGTTGCCACCACCTTGTATGACTTCCCCTTGGGCTACACTAAAAAATAGGATCCGTTAAGCTGTACCTGACTAAGAGGGCCTTTTTTTCAGTGCATGGCTTTGGTTTAAAGTTAGTTCAAACGCTCGAGCTAGCTGCTTGAAACTCAGATTAGCCAATCAAATGTCAGCACGCCGTTAAATATATGTAAACGCAGTTTACGGGCAGTAAGTTTAAACTGACCCTAAGAAACAACGAGCGCTAACACTACTATAAAAATTGATGGACAAACAGAAACGATTCAGATTAAAAACTGAAAATCGTTCCACAATACAACAATAATTTTGGTATCAATATAATTTCCTTAAGAATCTATCTATCTATTTCGGTCAATACTTCGTCCGAGAGCTATGGGTCTATTTTGAGTATTTTTTATTATCTTAATTTGTTGCGGATTACTTCATAACTAGGGCCCGGATTTCTATGCACTTACATATTTTTTTGGTAAGTTTTGTGGCATCGATTTGTTAGTGCATATTCTTGCATATTTTGCCTCAAATGCATATATAGGCATATTTTATTAAAAAAGCATATTTAATTGCATTTTTTATTAAACGCCGTTTGCCTAGAGCGGACGAATCACTCCACAATTGCAAGAGCATTTGATCATTCTATGCAACTATTGGGTACTGATTTCGCCGAAAATTATTTTAATGTCACTGACGCAGCGCCATATATCGAGCACTAACCGCCAAAAAAAACACAAGGGATATTTTTTCAAAATTTTCTTTTCTATGCAGAATTGCATCTAGATTTTCTACGGGGATTTCTGCATCAAAAAGAAATTCTTTGAAAAATATGTCGCTTACGTTTTTTGGGCGGTTGAGGCTCGATATGGTATAATCAGCAAAAACTAAAAATTACAATATATCCTTGTGTTTATTAAAAACTTGTAATAAAATATGAAAAGTAAATAAAAGAATTAAAAAAGCTAACCAAATCGAAAAGTCTTTTTACATATTTTTTTGTTTTTAGTGCATATTTTTCAGTTTTTAGTGATATTTTTGAGTTTTAGTGCACATTATATGCGCATAATCTCGATTTTTTAGCTCATAAAGATCCAGGCCCTATATCATATTCATAACTGAAACGAACGTCACCTGGAGCATCCGCGGTGGGTGTGGCTGTGGACTGCAGTTAAACTTGTTAAACATTTTCCTTAATTACTTCCTTTAATTATTTTATGATAAATCGTCAGCTGCATTTAAAATGATGGAACCAGAATCAGCGGGAATACTTTCCTGCTTGTTGCCCACGGTATTTTTAATCGACTAACTGATGGCCTTCCCCCAATAGACATTCAGCTGATTGTAAGTTTCTGGTTTTGTTTTGTTCAGACCATGATGGTTCCCAATAGGGATGTGCCGGGTATCCGGTAGATATTCAGAATCCGGATTATCCGACCTTTTTTCTGTAATCCGACTATCCGGCCGGATTTCCGGATTTCGATTATAGAAGATTCTATTTAAAAATCTAGTTCAGCATTTTTTTTTAATTACTATAATCAAATTGTAATTAGAGTTAAAAATTTATATATTTTTCATTATGAAAAGAAGCATTTCCGCATTACCGGTCAAGAACCCATTTCTATTTTCAACATAAATGCTAACCGATGCCCTAAACACTCTTTTTGAGTTCACTGAGGAAGGTGGTTCGCGGAGATACTTCATTGTCAGTGTAAACAAATTTGGAAATTCTTTTCCACTATAAAAACACAGGGCAACATTGATTTTGATGCGGGAAATGTTAAAGCTGTTTTTGATGGACTTTTTTATGCCGATTACGAATTCCGTAAGTACAAAGCTTCCATCACCTCAAGATTTTGAGAAAAACGTGGTCAAAGTGTCAAACAATCGCGTTTTTGCAATATTTGAGAAGCTCTAGCAAAGAAACAAAAGGTAATAGAATCTTTCACTTAGACCTAAATTAAACCTAGAACTCTCGACTTCTATCCCCTAAAATTTCACCTCTACATCTTGACCCGATGGTCACTTATAGTCATTTATTGAACAATAAAAAAATGCTGGAAAATTGTGCCATTGAAAAAAAATTTTGCCAAAATTCAGTTTGGCTGTAAAAGACTATAAGTGACCTTAAGGTCAAGGTGCCGGAATGGTATTTTCAGAAGTTCTAGCCGAAAGTTTAAGCCTTAACTTAAGCCTAAGTGGAAGGTTCTATCTACCTTTTATTTAATTGCGTTAGGTACTGAAACTTCGCTTAAATTAGCTTTCGCTGATGCAATAAATGACTATAAGTGGCCATCAAGTCAATTTGCAAGGATGGTATTTTCAGGGATAGTAGTCGAGAGTTTTAGCTTTAATTTAAGTCTAAGTGAAGGTTCTATTATCTACTATCAGCTTCTCAAATATTGCAGAAAACGCGGTTCTTTGACACTTTGACTTCGTTTTTCTCAAAACCTGGAGCAGCAGGAAACTTTATACTTACGGATTCGTAATAAGCACAAAAAAGTCTATCAAAAACAGCTTTAACATTTTCTGCAACAAATTTATTTTCCCGTTTTTGTTGGCCTGGGTAATAATAGATTGGTGCTTTCACATTTGTTAGTGTTTGGCCGGAGTTCTTCTCTGATTTGTGGCGTGCGCATTGATTTTGTCACACAAACAGTTTTACGTCGACTTCGAACGGCGATTGTAATTTTATGAGAAGCTGTTTTTTATGGCAGAAATACACTCGGAGGTTTGCCATTGCCTGTCGAGGGGCGACCGCTATTAGAAAACAACTTCTTTTATGTTGCCGTCTATGAGTCCACCAAATTAAAGGATCTTCTTGTTTGGGTATAAGGGGTAGCTGTAAAAAGCTCTCCATTTCTCCATCGTTTGGGTATCCACAATATATCTACAATAAAGCCTTACGGGGCGATT